TATTTTCGAGACATTATGAAATCCTAACTTGATTTCATGTGTTGCAAAACACTGCAGTTTTGCCTTCTCCATTTACAGATTTTCCGGTGAGCGATTGGTGCTCTTCCACTGTCTCTCCTGAGAGACTTTAGAAACCAAAAAACCCGTACAGCTCCACCTGGAGCCAGAATCAAATGGCTTTACTTCGGATTTCATCACAGGTAACATCCTTAATCTTCACACTTCTTTATCTCTATGCAACTTGATTCCCCATTGTCTTTGTTTAAACATACCAGCCTTGAACTCCTTTTGTACCGCTGTCACTTCTAACAGAACACGCCATCTAACTACCAACATTGCTAGACAGACTTTCGACACAACCATGTTCCAATCATATGTTTTAACAAAACCTTGCAAACATTTCAGTTGCTAACACCTAGTCCTTTAGGATGGACTTTTTGGAAACCTGCAACTGATATCCAGATGTCTTCACCACCATCAAGCAATATAACAAAGCCTTGACAGCTTACCTTTTAACCTTGGTTGCAACCTGATTATGCATATCTTCTCCTAAGTCTTCTTTATCCAAGAAACCCATAAACTTGTCATGTAAACAGTTTCTCCAAACAAGTAAACCTCTCAGCAAACACCCTTGCAAAATCTGAGGTATAGAAACTTTTACTATACTGCTCCTTGCTTGACCCTTATGATATGAGCAAGCTAAAATTCCCAATCTGATTTTGCGCCATCAGATTGACTAGGCATTGAATCTATCAATCCTATGCTCTTCTTTGACTCCTTGAACCGAGCCTCATTTTCTTCTTTGACTCTGACCCGACCCATAAGAACCAGAAACCTCTTCCTTTCACTTGGTTTCATATTTAGTTGAGAATATGGCGTTATTCTCTATGTTGTTGTTTTCTCTCTCTCTGTTTAAACAGATCACACAAACACAATAAACCTTGCAGCTTTGTTTCATTTCACTTGAAACAGAGGGTGAGTTAATGAGATAATCTTTAAAATACATAAAAATTAGTTTTTCAATCATGTTTGGTTATAGGAATTATGTCATTATAGAGTGTTTGGGTAATAGTATAGTAGATGATTAACAATAGGATTTAGTTATTAATTAAAAGATGAGAAAAATTGAGAACTTGAGACCTAAACAAAAAATACCAAAAATGCTTCTCCTATATTAAAAGATAAATATCCAATATATCTTTTTTTTTGTTAGATAAAAAAAAAAGATAAATATCCAAAACTTGATGGGCAAGTTTCTTCCTATGTATATATCTTCGTAAATAATCAATTCTTCAATTAAAGTTTTTTTTTTTTTTAATCTTTTGTTCTGGGCTAAGCACTCCCATGTCTCTCCTTCTCAGCCGGTCCTCACTCTGCCCTGTGTTGGTAAGATCCTCACCTCTTCATTCTCCCTTGCTGCAAACCCGCCCTTTTAGCATAAGATTCGCTCATCCATGTGGAAACGGTCTCGGAAAACCAGTTGTTTGGTATGCTAATGACTATTGGAGCACTTGTCTGGAAAAGAAGGTGCCTCTGGAGTTGGTGGATGACCCTAATATGGAAAATATCGGGTCATCTCATGGCTGGATAGCTACTTTGAAAGACGATGGAATTGTGCGTCTCCACAATGATCTAAACCTGCTTGCATCGGATTCAAACCACCCTAAATGTATTGCACTGCCTCCTCTTGTYACTTTACCTCGTTCCCAAACCCGAATAGTCACCAACGTGGCCATGTCCTCATCATCTCCTGAGGACGAAGACTGTGTTGTGGCTATCAAGTTCTTGGGAAATCAACTAAGCTTTTGCAGACCGGCTCAAACGAACCCCGAGTGGTTCAACATCAAAATCGAAAACCCCTGCTACTTCTCCTCCCCTGTCATGTTTTCCAAGAAAGATGACATGTTTCGCATTCCCGGATCTGGAGGCCTCATCATTGGATCATGGGATCCTCGCACATTCCACCACAAATCCAAGAGGTTGCGCTTCCGAAATTTTCCCTATATGTCGCGCAACATTAGGATGCTTCTGGATTTGTGCTTCAGGAGCGAACACTTGGTTGAGTCACGATCCACCGGCGAAACTTTCTTGGTTAAGTGGTACAGGAAGACCCATAAGATCACCAAGCGTGTTGAATCAATGATAACAAAATATTTAATGGTTTTCAAGGTAGACGAAAAAGGAAACGTTGTTTACACGGAAGATATCGGAGATCTCTGCATTTTCCTCTCCAACTCTGAACCTTTCTGTGTCTCTGCTACCTCTTTTCCCGGCATGTCCTCTAACCATGTCCACCTCTTTGATGCCGATGAAGCTGCAGTGTTCAATCTGGCTGAAACCACCCTTGACAACTGCGATACTGAAATCTTTACCGACAAGTACGGGGCCCCTTACCATATTCCACCTCAAAATATACACTAATAAATAGGGCTGGCGGATTGGATTTCTTAGATTTGGACTGGGTTTGGATTATTTAGATTAAGAATTATTGTACCAAATTCAATCCAATTAAAATTTTGATTGGATTTCTTATGTTTTGGATTGGGGTTTGTGTTATTTGGATTAAAAATTATTGTACCAAATTCAATCTAATTAAAGT